TCTTCAATCAGCGCTGAGGCACTTTGGCCAATGAGCAACCCGGCACGGATCTCCACAAGGGAAAACCGTGTCCCCAGAGAGCTCCCGGAGAAGGAGAGGAGAGCGTCATGAAAAAGGCCAGGTCAGCTCCCTCCCGTCCGAGCGCCTCTTGCTCCCATGCCTGCACCTGTCCCTGGTAGAGGCCTGCAGCCACCCGATCCTGGGGCGCACCTTCCCTACGCGGTCGAGGCTGCCTGCCAAGGGGGAGCAACCCTGGTATCCAGGACCTCTCGCCTCCTGCGCACACCCTCCTCGGCCCTCTGGTTTCCTCCCAGGCCTGCAGGCCAGCGGCTCTCTCACTGGCCCTTGCCACCTCTTCTTGGTCTATTAGCCAGTCCACGGCACGAGGATATCCCCACTGGGATCCTCCGTGGGTGTTCCTCCGAGAATGGTCCCGAGACACCTGCGTCTGAATCACCCCAAGGCACCTGTTAAAAATGCAACGGATGAGGGCCCGGCAGGCGTGGCTCAGGGGTTGAACGTCCACCTATGAAATCAATAAAAATACATTTAAAAAAAAATTAGCCTGCTACCTCTGGGCAAACATTTCATTAACTCACCAATTCTCCTAAGGCCTTGGCAGGGCCTTACACAACCGGACCCGCAGGCCTGCTGTCCCCCACCCTGCTTTCAAGTGACACAGGAACACTTCCTCCCACACCTTTCCACGGAGGGATGACTGGTTACTTTCTAGGTCCAGTTGCATGGATGTTCCTCTCTCTCCCTCTCCCTTCCTCTCTGAAATCAATACAAATATTTCGTAAATAAATCAAAATGACTGTCAGATTACATGCACGTGAGGCACCTGTAGAGCGAGGGAAACAGTTAAAAACCAGGAAACTCTTCGTTCTGTGGCCTCCATGTCCCTTTAAGACTCCTCTCGACTTTAAAGGATTCTAAGCTGGGAATCTGGGGTAAGGCCATCACCACAGGTGTGGCTTCTCCAAGAATCATGACTTGGGGTGTCGGTCGGGCACCGTCTTCAAAGCAATGGTCTCGGTCTTCAGTCAGCTTCTTGGTTGAAGGTCAAGTGAACTGTGTCAGGTCTGAGGAGGTCCCTCTGTGTGACTCCCACGCACGTCCGCTGGCCTTCGCAGTCCTACACGCCTGTCGCACTCCCACGGGGAGGGAAGTGCTCCCGGCACGCGGCACTGACTAAATGTTAGTCCCTTCTCCCGCCCTCACCGCCACCCCCACGGCTTTGGAAGTTCCATTTGGTTTCACACCCAAATGCCATCTCTGTTCTGTGACATTTCACCAGCAAACACCCCCTGCTGGGTGCCTTCAGGTCCCCCCCAAACCACTGCCCTTTGTGGAGAACGTTTGAGGCCCAGGACATTTGCATTTTACACATTCCAGAAGCCTCACCCCCACACTGGGCCGACTCCAGGGAGACCTGGGGGAGGCAGGGCGCGGAGATCGCTCACGCACAGTCCTCATGGAAATACCACCCCTCTAGCACCTGGCCCTCACACAGCACTGAGGAC